GCTTTGATTCATTTTGGTCGTAGTGGACCACGACCTTATGAAGGGGGTAATTTTCATCCCATGCAACAAAACAATTGATGCTCTTGGGATGGCAGATGCAATGTACCGAGAGGTCTACAAGTGGTTTGGACTCCCAGACAAGATCATCAGCAACCGAGGACCGCAATTTGTGTCCAAAGTCTTCCAGGAACTTTGCAAAATGACTGGGATTCAATCGGCCATGAGTACGGCATTCCACCTGCAGACTGACGGCGAGACAGAATGAGTAAACCAAGCGCTGGAGATCTACCTCTGCTGCTTCACTGCCAATGATCCGGATAAGTGGGCTGACCATCTTCACACCATGCAATTTGCTCACAACTCCCGCAAGCATTCCACGATGAAGACATCCCCATTCAAACTCATGATGGGATACGAACCTCGCGGAATACCCACCGCGCACCCTGGATCAAACACGCCGCAAGCAGCTTATCGCCTCAAGGACTTGCAAAACATCCGTGAGGAAGCACATGCGGCAATGGAGATGGCCCAGAATGTCCTGGCCAAGAGAGTAAAAAGGAAGGGGGGTTCCTTCCGTAAAGGTCAGCTGGTATGGCTAGACTCCCGGAACTTGAAGCTGCCGTACCCGTCCAGGAAACTAGCCCCGAGGCGAGAAGGGCTGTTCAAAGTCCTAGACAAGATCGGAACGGTCGCATACAAGCTAGACCTCCCTAGCACCTGGCGAGTCCACCCCGTTTTCCACGAATGGCTTCTATCTCCCTACTCGGAGACGGAGATCCATGGTCCGAACTACACGAGGCCACCTCCTGACCTTATCGAGGGCGAAGATAACTACGAAGTCGAAGCCATCATCGGACATCGAAAGAACAAGAGGATGCGACGCCGCGAATATCGCGTCAGGTGGAAGGGTTACTCAACAGCCGATGACTCATGGGAGCCCGAAGCGAACCTGACTGGGACGGCTGACGAAGTGTTGACAGAGTATAAGAACAGGAAGGATTTGAGCTGAATCGACAGCAGCTCTACCCAGTCGCTACATCCCCACTCGCACCAACATGTCTTCCACCCTCTCGTTTCTCGACCAGTTCAATGCCCCCTCGACCGAAGGCGGGAAAAGGCTCTCAATCTACACCCCTAAGCACACCCACGTCGGCGACAGCACCTTGCTGACGTTCCTTCTCAGTAACCCCACCGACGTTTTCAACAAACTCAAAGCCCACAACCCCGAGGCAACCAATGCCACCGACCGCGCGGCACTAGAGGCGTATCTCTCCGCCCGCCGTGAATATGACGAGGCTGTCAAGGCAGCCGACGAGGCCATCGACCACCACAAGCGGCTCCTACGCCAACAGGACGACCGCGTCCTCACCGAGCTCATCCGGCTCGACAATCTGAAAGTTGCCCATCGCTTTCAACCGCTCTTACCACGCAGCATCCGGGCACGACACAACAAATTCATCCCGCGCGCCATCCCCAACGCGTACTTACCCCTACCCGCACCCCTACCGACGTCTGCCTTCAGGCGCCTCCCGATCCCATCCCCTTTCCTCCAAGCAACGCTGCGGAGCACTACCATCCCCGCTGACTGGCAACCCAACCCTGGTTGGACCCCAAAGGGAAGCTGCAGGAGATGCGGATCGTCTCGACACTGGGTACGGGACTGTCCGGACGTACGATGCGCAGGATGCGGAAAAGAAGCCCCTGGACACCTGGAGCGAGAGTGTGGAACCAGGCCGATGAAGCGACACGTATCCGCACCACCTGAAGAACCTGCGCGACGCGTGGGGGTGGTCATCGACAACGTGTTCCTCGAAGGAATCATCAACGAAGCGAAGGAGAGGAAGGAGAAAGAAAAGCAGACGAAAGCGATACCCATCCCTCCACCGCGTAGCGCTAACCCCGAACCCCCAACCAGTCCCGTCGCGGGACCTTCGCGCCCCCGCCCCGATACACCCGTCGTCTTTCGCAAAGTCGATCCCGACTGGACACCGGACACCACTCAATGGACGTGGGACAGCTCCTGGCCGAATCAGAAGCACCTCTCTGGCGAGGAATGGATGAACGAAGGGAGGAACGCACGCAAGGAATGGTTCGACGAAGAGGAGGACGACGGCGTAGATTGGGAGTTGTATGGAGACGGTGAGCAGTAAGTAGTCGAATGGGACTTCGACTCTGGTAGGGGGGTAATGAAACATTTGTCTTTCCGTTCTATTCCTTGTACTACTAGCACCCATACTGGCGCCTGTCTTAGCGCTCACCCGCAGGTTGAACATTATGTAGCTTACATAATGGGGTCCGTGCGCACTTCGTGCCTGGTATCGTACCACTATGTTTCTTTCTTCACTAACACGACCACATAGACACGATGGTCCGTGCGCAGTCGGTCCTTGTATAAGTAGTTGTACCATTAGTCGGTCGAACCCTAAGTTCGACCTGGTTATTCATTCAAGTCTCTGCTCCTCTTCGCTTGGGGTAGTGGTCATTCTCGACTTCCTCGCTCGATCTTCAGGACGACGCACTGTCCATAAGTCCTCGCTCGTCGTCTATGAGTCAGGCATCGATATAGGAGTACAGACCGTTGTATCATGGTCCGTGCATAGCTGGTACTTGTATAAATAGTTGTACCATTAGTTGGTCAGACCCTAAGTTCAACCTGGTTATTCATTCAAGTCTCTGCTCCTCTTCACTTGGGGTGGTAGTCATTCTCGACTTCCTTGCTCGATCTTCAGGACGACGTACTGTCCATAAGTCCTCGCTCATTGTCTATGAGTCAGGCATTGATCTAGGAGTGTAGACCATTGTATCAGGGATACTGTAGTGACTTAGGGTTAAGCAACAGGGAGCAAACAAACCTAAAGGCTGGGGGTGTTCAACTGGGTTGACCAAAGCAATGGTGAGCAGGCTCAAACCTAAGGCTAGGGACAAGAAATGTATTAAGTTAGTAAAGGTAAGTAAAAGGGGTATAGGGGCTTACTGACCTAGGGAGAAGAGGTCAAAACTGAGGCCCCTAGGGCAGCAGAGGCAGGTTTATATACATGTGAGGTTCAGGGCTGGCTGTGTGCACTGGTCTGTGCGCAGCTGGTCTGTGTGCACTGGTCTGTGTGCAGCTGGTCTGTGTGCAGCATTGCTATGTCACAGCCACTGAGACAGCAGCCCGGTGAGTCAGAGAGGCTGTGTAAGCAGTGCTCATGCTATTCCGGGCTGTGCTGCACAGCCATCTAATCTAATTGATTGAGGTAGTGTGACCTGTCCATGTCAAGCACTGCCCCACACATCAAGATCGCTGGTTCGAATCCAGAAAAAAGAAAAAGAAAAAAAGAAAAAGAAAAAGATCCGTGATGTAGCAACTTGTGATAGTGCTGGTGTTTCCAAGGAGACTTGTTGACTTCCTGTACTCCAACTTTGTTATCTCTACTGCATCCATGGATGACACTGCAGCTGGGCTTGAGATTGAGGGTGTGCTAGACTTGCCAGCCCAGTGCATGCTCATGCCTTGGTGGCGAAGGGGTGTTTTCGAACAACTGCAACATGACCAATGTGTGTGCTGTCGAGATGCATGACTTCTGCCTGTGCGAGTGGGAGTGTGCACTGCCTCCGCCATAGCACCCACTTCTTCACTGGCATTAGAGAGGTTGATGCTATGGCAGAATGCGGATGCCCTCACATGGACGGGATTGCAATGGCACAGTAGGCATGTTAGGTATGCTTTTTGTCGCTGCCATTGTCTGCGCTTGAGTATTCCACTGCGTCAACAAAGGGTCAGATCTACAAGTATGTGAAGACCATCATTAACTTGCGGTAGGCTGCATGAGGAGTTTTGATGAGTGCATGTCTGAGATGCTTTCCATTGGTGAGTCAATCTGCATGGTGCACAAAATCACTTACCTTTGTTGTGATAATCAGCTGGACAAGTATTGCCCTGGTTTTTGCCCACTTCCCAAAGAACTCCTCATCATTGGGCTCTTCAGAGTCTTCCAAGCCCAGTAAGTTGTTATTCCAAGGCTGTTCACCCATTGATGCTGCATGCAGGCTGCCCTCCTAGTGTCTGATATAAAAACCGTGCCAGATACAGTGAGCAAACTTGCACACTGTTGAAATACGCTGACCTGCATGATCAGGAATGAGCTCAAAAGCTCGGGTGCATGAGTAGCTGGGGGCTGGAGGCCCCTATCATAGTATATAATGACCATGCACGATGTATGTACACTACGTAATTGTCCCTTATGGGCATCGCTACACCCATGGACAAATGCACCCTGCACCGTCGCACCCTTGTTCCAACATACACCACCTCTGGACACACTGTCTCAGTCAGCAGCACCTCAATGTGGCGCAAGTGCGACACCAGCATAATAAGTTCAGGTGATAGTGACACAATGGCAAGTCCACATATGCTACCAGCTGTGATGCTTCAATGCTGACCAAGTGCAGTCAGCACCCAAGTTGCCAGGTGCAGTGTCAGCCCATGGACCATGTCCATGCCCCTGGACAATGGCTCTCCAATAAAGATGGACACCCTGTCATGGCTCGGCCAACCCCCTTATTACATGCCCTCTGGCAAGGCCACTGCTGGCATTACCACAGGTAGGCACACAAGGATGCAGTCTCTCCAGCACATCAGAGTGTTGACGCGCAGAGGAAAAGACCTACCGGAATGGCAGCCTGCAAGCATCGCTGCCAAACAGGCAGAACAGATGTGCCACCCATCGATGTGCCAAGGATGTTAGATGAGTCTTGCACCCGGGGCTGATGGTGCACCCACTCAGGGGCTCCGGACACTTGTTCAGCCCGGACAAGGCAGGTAAGCCATTCTGCAATGTTCTATAATGTTTGGAGCACCGCCGCCCTGTAAATAAAGTACATAGTCTGAAAAAGAAGAGTTCAGTTCCCCTGCTCCATAGTAGTACAAATGACACTAGAGGCATGCTCACCAAGACCCAATCCGCCCACACCGGACGTCGACTCTTCTGCGTTGCGTGCCCGAGTCCTCATATGCATGATCTGCATGCCAGGCTTCCTCGACCCCAAACCACTCGCCTAGCCCGGCGACTTGATCAGCCTGGTGACAGTAAAGAGTTTTTATTTACTTACCACACATCTGGAGCCCACCACAAGGGGTCCCAAGAGTGCATGCACTGTCAAGCTGTATGAGGAATACTCAACCATGCAAGGATGTCCAGAAGATCAACATCAGTGCCCAGAGGTGCACCATCGGGTGGCAGCTCAACATCAAGCACAGTCATCGTTGCAAGCCTACCACATGCAGGATCACAAGATGCCCCAAAAACCTTCAAGGGGAAGTTCTCCGAGGTAGAGGTGTTTGTCAAATAGTATGAATTGTTATGTCAGCAAAAGGGCATCACTGATGACAAGGACATTGTTACCACTGTCACCCGCTACACCTCACTGAAGGTCAAAGACTTGATCAAGACCCTTGAGAGCTACAAGATCCCGAGTTGGAAAGACTTACGAGCTGACTTGCTCCAATACTACAATACAGACCAGAGCACACAACAATACACCCTCAGCGACCTCATGATGTTCCAGGTCTGGTCCGCAAAGCAACCCATCAGATCGCTGGATAAGTGGCACCGCTACACGCAGAAGTTCCAGCATGTCACGGGATGGCTGCTTGAACACAGCATGATCACGGAAAATGTGTGTGCTATACACTTCTGGAAGGGAATGCACATGAAGCTGCATGCACACATCATCATCAACCTAAAGGTCAATGACCCAAAGCACAATTATTGTACTCCCTTTTCAGTGGACAAGGTGACCACAGCTGTGGAAACGTACCTCCAGCGCAATCACTTTGATGCAGAACATCTGCTGTCAGATCAGGAGACTGCTGACAGCTTGGACGACTCCAGCAATGAGGATGATTCATCCTCCAGTGAGGATGATGTCCGTAAGAAACCCCAATGAGCGACACATCAGAAGACAAGGAGTAAGCGAGTCAGCTTCCAAGACACCGCACTAAACACAGAGGATGACTCACCAGTCAGCAGGAAACAATGCAAGCAACAAGAGACCAAGGAGATGGAGAAGTTGATCTCTCAGCTCAATTGGATGTCAATCAGTGACCCCTCCTATCCAGTGCTATATTTCCGTGCCTGTAGAATGGACCCGTTAGTTGCTCAGGTGGTTCACAAACCCGTAATGATGGGTGCCACTGTCACAGTGATGACAATGCCCGTCCCGGTCATGGATGTGCACACTGCAATGGGATCAATCAACCGGGGATGCTTTGGCTGTGGAAACCCCGGACATGGAGTGCGGGACTGTCCTGAGGTGTTGCAGCTCCTCTCTGATGGAATTGTGACCCGTGACATGAGTGGGCAGATCATCATGAAGGATGGCGGACATGTTGCATGCATGTGCAATGAGCCCATTGCGCATGCCGTCCGATGTTTGATGCTGCTACAGACTAACTTCATTGCCATGAGCTCTGGCGTCCTCTCGGCCTAGCTAGATGACAAGACACAGACAATGAGTTTGATGAGCACACGTATGTGATGCCTGCTACCCGATCTGGTAGGATGACCACTTGCGCATGAAAGGAGGTTGCTGCAGAACCTATCGCTCACCCAAAGGACCGCTCTCGCAGGTCTGCAGTGGAGGGACTGATCACACACAGCCGCACAGCTGCCCCATCGCAAGAAGCACCCCCTGTTTGGGACCCTCCACCGCATGAACCGCTTTTGACTCAACCCATTGAGGTTCTGCCACTGCGTGTCACTGTGGACCCCAACAATAGTGATGCATTCATGGAGGATGACACCCACAACCTGGATGAGATCACAACAAAGCCAAGGGTATCTGCCGACTCACTGAAAGGCCTGGAAGCAACAGGAAAGCGAGTGCCGAGACGGATCGAGCTGCAGGCACAGATTGACCAAGCTGACATCCTCGACAGAGTCCTGGGCACATCAGTATCCCTAAAGATTGGGAAAGTGCTCGCCATATCAAAAGACATGTCCCATCAGCTGCAGAATGTGCTAAAGCTACGTCAAGCAGCCATGGTGGCTTTGACAGTTGTCACACCATCAAGAGGCACTCTCATCAAGCTGCAGATGGAGTGTGATGACCGACCAGTCACTGCAATCATCGATACAGGCTCCCAGCTAAACATAGCTCACTGGCGAGTATGGAAGAGCATGCTCCGGAGGCCCATGGACGTTACCTGCTTTGTCAACATGAACGATGTGAATGGGGGGTGGGTGTGTTAGCTGGATTGGTGCAAGACATGCCACTGTCATGTGGGAGCATCACAACTAATGCATCACTGTGGATAGGCAACTCAGTCCCTTTCAACCTCCTGCTAGGGTGACCATGGCAGTGGGGGAACCTGATTTCCATTGACAAACGACAGGACAGTACATACCTCCTATTCAAAGACCACAACTTGAATGTCCGACACAAAATTCTGGTAACACCAGGCAGACACGATCAAGGATGGCACTTCGATCCTGATGCCTTCTCAGCCAAGTTGACCCATAGCCCAGCTGCCACCGCCTCAACCTACTACCTACAGACAGAGGGAGAAGACATCAGCCTAAAACCCGGTGGACAGACAGGGGTGGCGGCATTGACAGACTTGTCAAGCGTGATCGAGGAAGTTACCTGATCCAGACCTTCCACCACTTCGTCAGCCCCTGATCAAGTTGGACATGCAATGGGCGCACTTGGATACCAGTCAGCTGCCAATGCCGAGACATCCCTGCTGTCTGAGGGTACAAGACATGGGCAGGTACAAAGCTACACACTGGAGGTGAAACCAAAATCACACTGCAACACCCCACTGATCCCGTCACTGGTGAACATGCCCACTCTCCATCTATGTCCTATGGTGCTAGAAAGAACACAAACATGGTGACAAAATACAGGGTTCTGACTTCGAACTGATTCAGAGGACTTGACCCCCATTACCCTGCTGCGTGACACCCTTTGCATAGCTATCCATCAGCAAGGGCTAAAGGGCAGTACCTTTCTCAGCCTCTCATCTGTGAGCATGGTCGAGTACACACCCATCACGATATAATATGGGTTTAGCCACCTCATGGTCAGTTTGCAGGCCACGCGCGCAATTCAAGACAAGGGTTCCGGCGAGATTGATGTTGCGACTTGGGGTCAAGCAACAGGGAAAGAACAAACCTAAGGGCTGGGGGTGTTTGACTGAGTCTCACCGAAGCGATGGTGAGTGATGCTCAAACCTAAGGCTAGGGACAAGATAAGTTAGCATTGAAAAGGTAAGTAAGTACATGGGCTTACTGACCTAGGGACAAGAGGTCAAAACTGAGATCTTTAGGGCAGCAGAGGCTGGCTTATATATAGGGGAAGATAAGGGCAGGCTGTGCATGCTGGTCCATGCACAGCTGGTCCATGCACAGCTCGTTCGTGCACAGCTCGTTCATGCACAGCTGGTCCATGCACAGCATGCTAACGCAGCCCCGGGGGCTGGTGAGTCATAGCAGCTGTGTCAGCGGAGCCCAGGCTGTGCCATGCACTGCCATCCTATCTAATCTAATCTACAGGAGAACATGATGTGCCGGCGAGGCTTGTCCATTTGAGCATATAGTACAGAGGTTGTGGGTTCGAGCCCGCAGAAAGGAAAAAATTAAAAAACGGCTAGACACCGTGTCAACTCGTGACAATCGAGGTGTGCCAGGGGATTTTCATAACATTCTTCATCGAGGATGCCCAGGCTCCTGCAGGAGCATTCACAACACCAGTCCTGAGAGAGATGAGTCAAATAAACGCCCCCAACACCAGTAGCCTCGATAATCACCCGGCCATGATGACTACAAGCCCAAACAGCTCGCAGCTAGCAGGGGGTTACATCCCTGCTCTTCCCCATTCACCTACAGAGAGTGAGGTCTCATTCTGGGATCGTGAGCTCAATAATGCATATGCCTACGACTGGCTGTGCCACGATCTCAACGAGATTAGCTGGTGGCGACAGTTGATGGTTAGAGCTTTCTGAGCAGTCAATGAATGTGCACGTACCGAGGGTCTGTACACTTGCATGCTTGAAGAGGGCGAAGGTGGCCCGCTTGACCTTGCAATACAGGAGCACTATAGTGTGGATGGACTGCTGGAGAATGGGGCAGGCAACCCTTTACTCCATGAACTTGACCGCTATGATTGGTTCGAAGACCGCCTATCATTTGATGTTGAAATGATGCAAGATGACACCACAGCAGTGTGATCTCTGATAGATGCCTTGCTCCACACCAGTCAAGTCATGTGCCTCCTGGACTCCTTTTGCTCCCGCATCAACAGATATTGCAGTGCGGTGATACGACCTACGAAACCCTAACCCCTAACCTGGGTGCGACCTAAAGGGACTAGAGAGACAGATTATAGTCTTAGTGAGAGGGGAGTTAGCAGCAAGGTGTCCCGTGGTTCGAGTGAACACGAGAAACGCCTTCAGAAAAGGCTACGAACACTAGGGAAGGTACGAGGTGGCTCGACACGTTGTCGAAGCTACTCGGAGGCTGTGGGTGGTTAGTGGAGACGATCGAAGCTCGGCAGAGCTCTTCGATGTATCATAGAGGGAAGAGACACGATTCGATAGGGTGGACTTAGCTAGGACGTGGTTCGAGGTGCAACGCAGTTCTTCGACAATAGCCGAAGTCGAAAGGTTCGTCGAGACGGTATCGACGAGTACACGCAGTAGACGAGGTTTCGAGGTTATGCAGCGAGGAATGAAGTGACGCAGTTGAGGGCTTAGACGCAGGGCAAACTTGACTTATGAGCTCTGAACTCGAGGGGGGAACCGGATCTTGTGTTTTTGGAAAGAAGTACGACAGATT